GGGTCTGTGAAGTAGGCACTGGGCTCTTTTGGGGCAACGCCCTGTGTGTGTGTGTGTGAGTGAGAGAGAGAGAGACACACGGTGGAAGTCAAGCGTTCACAGGAAACTGCCCAACTCAGTCATGCTGTTTTACTCCTCTGACTGATGGGAAGTTGCAAAATAATAGGTACAGAAGGGAGTAGAAAGGTAGAAATAGAAAATCGTTGTCACGTTGCTCCTGTTCCTTCCACACTCGATCACTTTTTGCTTTTAATTTAAGACCGAAAGAGAAAACAAAAAGCACCATTGATACATCGGTAGATGACCTCGGCTGACCAAACTACTGTAACTCAGTTTGTCCGAAAAGTTGAACACTAGTTTAACTTTTGACAAAGAGTGCAAGTGAACATCTTCTGCTAAGAAATGTCCATCAGCTGTTAAAATGTGGGTAATGTGCCTCGCACTTTTTTTTTGCAGACTAGACCACAACAGTGCAGTGTAGGTGGTTTCAGTGCGTTCTAGTGTTTTACTGTGTGAAAACGGTTTGATGGGTTTTCTAGTGTTTCACTAACTTCCCTTTCCTGTGAAGAGAAATGTTTTCTACGTGTTTGTGTACACGTAACATTCGATGTTTCTACTGTTGTTAAATAAGAGGATTTATATCGTAAAATACACAATTTTCCCAGAGCTCAAACTTATGTTTTTTTTGCAACTAGCAATCCAAAAGTCAAAGATGTTCAGTTTACTGTCGCATATGATGAAGAAAAGCATCAAATCCACATATTTAACAAGCTAGAACCGCCACATATTTGGCAATTGTGCTTGAAAAAAATGACTTAAAGGATGAATTTCATTGAGGACAGAAGCTAGTGCGAAGCGACAGTGTGTGTAAAGAGAGCGTGTGAATGGACGACAGAAACGAGGAGTAAAAAAACCCATTGGCTTAGTAACCAAGAGCCTCTTAAAAGCCTTGGCTCTCTCCCCCTTTCCTCCCTGTTCACCTCCCCTTTGTTTCTCCCCCCTCTTTCTCCATATCACTCCTTTTATCTGAAATACCCACACTTCTTCTCCTCCATCTCTCTTTTCCTCGTTCCCATACACCCCACCTCTCTTGGTTTGTTTAAAAAAAGGTACTCTCTCCCTCTGCTTTATTTCTTCTGCATCCTCCAGGCTTACCCATTATTTGTCTGTGTGTGTGTGTGTGCGTGACGTAACAGAGGAAGTAAGAGTAATTAGAAACAGGGTCTGTCTGCGTGACAGTGGAAAGTACAGAGGAAAATGGCGAGACAGAAGGTAGCTGGGTCTCCATCCATAATGATGTATCAAATTTAAAAAAGCTTTAAATACAATAAAGCTTTCATATGTGCGATGTTTATTTTTCCATTATCATGGAACTCAACTCTAACCACCGATGCATTTACTAATCTCTGTCATTCCCTTTGCGTTGTTGCTCGAGCACAAAAGGAGGATGCGAAAGCAGCTTTTAACAATTCTAGTTTTCAAGCAACCGCTCCTCTCTACATCTGTTGGTAATTTGACAGCTGTAGTAGGTGGGCATACTGCCATACACATATTACAAAGGCCTCTTCCACAATCAGTCAAATAAGGTACATAGAAGCAAAACATGTATTGTTTGCTTCTGATGTGGCTTTTTTAACCTGATGTCAGCCGTTAAACAGACGGTCGGCTGATACACCTGCGCCTCTCTAGTCTTTGAGCGGGGTACTGAAGTTATTTCCTTGGTTGTTTTTTTCTAATTTTTTTTCCTCAATTTGACCCCATGAATTGTACAAGTGGTGAGCTGACATAGTCGTATCTTGTAGAGATCAAAACCAGCGATTCAGGGCCAAAACAAATCATTGATTAGGTGCTGCGAAATGTCAGATTTCATGGTCTTCAAAGGGGGAATCGCCTCGTGCTTCCCAGTTTGCTGTAAATGAAGCGAAATGGGCTACAAAGGGGAAATAAAGTACATGTGATCTTTACAGTGTTAGAAGGCACAATAGTGCACGTGTTTGTCTCCACATAATGTGTTTTGTGGGTTGGGAGAATCACAAACCATCACGAATCCCTGTTGCCTGCCTTCTCTTGCTCATTGTGTGTGTGTGTGTCTGTGTCTGTGTGTCTGTGTCTGTCTGTCTTCCCGGGCTCTGGCCCAGCACAGAAGCAGACCTCTGTTAGAAATGTAATTCGCATGGGGCCAGAGGAGCTCTAATGCTATTACCACAGACACAAATGAACTCATGCACAGCTGTGTTGCCGCCCACAGTCTCGGTGTGTACCTCTCTTCCTCCCCCATCTCCTTTCCTCTCCCTTGTTTCCTCTCCCTCAGCTCGTCGTCGTTGTGGTGGTTTAGAAAGACGAATGATGCAAAATGAAAGCCGAAAAACTCATTATGTCTTTAGGGTGCCTCTGTGCCGTGAGTCTAAGCTGTTTATGTGTGTGTGTGTCAGTAGTGTATTCAGTGAGTACAGCAGTCAGCTCGTCAGTTTATGAAAGCACTGAAGCCCCGTGTCAAAGATATTTCAGAGGAAAAATTGAACAGAAGACAGGAACTGAGAGTTGTGGTGTTTTCTGGAAATCATCTCTTTTGAAGTGTTTCTAACTTATTCACATTTAAGATTGACATGTAATGCACGGAAGATATATACGAAAACAATATGTACGACAAACAGCTGTAACTAAATAGGAAAGAAGTTCTCAACTATGCAACGATCCAACCTTTTTTAAATGAAGACGTCGATACAAATGAACCAACTTGTTATTAATTAATTAAAATCGTACACCAGCAACTTGGTAAAACATCTTCAAAATTAACAGGAATTACACTTAAAAAAAAACAAAAAACCTTTTTAATGCAGCAAGGAATAAAAATGTAAGTATATAATGTATTTGGTATCTAAACATTGAATTGAATAGATCGGCTCCATTGTCACAATTCCCGATCCAACCATTTAAGTCTGTATTACCCCGGGTCTCAGTGCATCCCTATCCTCAACTATGCAATGCTGTCGTTGATGTTGTAGATATTTTCATCACAGCCTCCATGTTTTTTGCAATAGTTTCTGTCGGTGTGTCTTTGCATTGCTGTCTGTGTACGTGTTGTTGCGTATTCCTCCGCAATAGCTACGAAGTTACGACAAAAATGAAAAGAGGAACGGGGACAGGAAGACGAGTCTTGAGGTTTGAGAGTTCTCAGGAAATCAGGATGTACTGTGTGTGTGTGTGTGTGTGTGTGTGTGTGTGTGTGTGTGTGTCAGTGTGTCAGTGTCACAGCAACATGAGGAAAGCCTGCAGTTGGTGCCACAGAGAAGAGGTGGGACCGTTTTTTCACACGAGGCTCCGAACGCCCACACTGACTTTCTCAGAGAGAGGGAAACAGTAGAGTGAAGCTTAATTGTCTCAGAAAGAGAGAAGGAAGTGATTGAAGCAACTGAGAGAATAAAAGAAAATTCATTTGACAGAGATATCGTGTGAACACTATCAGAGTCGAGCAGCAGGAGTTTTTTAATGGTGCAAAAGTCTCAAAGTCTTGAAAGTGACGCTGTGACACTCGAGGCCACAGTGACGGCGTGAATGAGTGATAGAATTCACTGGAAGCTTCAGAAAGTCCCCTAAATCTGTAGTTGAGCTGCAGTTCGCTTGGTTTGATCCGGACCAAATTGTCGTCCCACATCGTCAGGACCCACATGGGGAACCAAATTCCATTTAAATCGGTGTTGCAAAGACCACGAAGAAATAACTGATTATAAGTATTATTAATATTATTAGCAAGTCGGCTCACAGATGCGAACGTCGAGGAGCACACAGAGCTGTGCACGAGGCGTGTTACTGATGGCCGTCACACTCTTTTTTTTTTTTTTTTTAATGGACTTAATGAGCCGTCGGTACAGAGTCGGATACAAACACAGCAGCTGTGTGAAGGTTATATGCATGGCCTTCTACAGGTCGGCAAGATCGCTTCCTGAACAGATGTTTTTAATAGTAGTTTGGCCTAAAATCTTATAAAATCACACATCTGCTGTCATAAAATCCTGCTGTTCGCTTGCTTTCACATCTCAAATGAACCTCGGAGTGAAGCGGACCTAGATCCTGCTTCTCAGGCGGTCTTGGTTCAGTTGTTTAGGTTGGATTGGCAGCTTTCACACCCGCCCGAATGAACCGAACTACCCGAGCAAACGGACCCCAGTTTGTTTTTACTGTACCGAGCAGGTCCGGTGTGAAAGCACCCTTAATATCTGATCACAAAAGTGTTCTCGGCACCCCAACTCTGCTCAGCGGCCGAAGCCTCTTTCCTCTCAGAAAGGATGCTTGATGCAGGAGTACAATAGAAATCTGTAGCACACTGACTCAGTGGTGACGTCAACAGGATGTGATAAGCTTTGTTTATGTTTCCTGGTATATTGTTGGTAGTAAAATCTGCTTTCCTGCTTTGTCATTTAATGTCACAGTGTGACCTGGTGGTGTAGAGGTACCACAAAGGGGCTAGCAGAGAGAAAGTGGCCTTGAAAAGTCCTTTCATGCAACTAATCAAATATCTGACAAATCACCTCATCGCTCTGATGCAAAACAACCTGTAAATCAAATACTGCCATTAAAAACTGTGCATTTGCATCGTCGCCTATATGCACGTCTTTGTATTTGTATGCGTGCATTCACCATTTGGCCTTTCTGTTTTTATTATTATGGTGTAAAGCCCCTTGAACCACTTTTGTATGAGAAAGGATTTGAGCTAAAGCATGAACTTGAAACTCAGATTAATAGTACAACACCACAGGTTTAAGTTTCACGTCCAACACTTTTGTGGCTGCTCTCTGAATCTCTGTCTTGAAGCTTTCTTTGTATCTTCAGCGCTGCGATACTCCGACTTCTATCTGACCCGTATCACAGGTTGACCCTGCTCTGCTGTCATTCGAACAAATTCCGTATTATTCTGTGCAGGCGGGAGAGAGGAGGAAAAGGAAAGATAAGTTATTACGTTCTACTAAATACATTCCCTCTTGTTGTGCTGTTTATTCCAGCGGTTACGACGGTTGTCGACGAAATATCGGACGGAGAAGATCTACCCCACCAACGTAGGAGAGAAGGAGGAGAATGTCAAGAAGAACCGATATAAAGATATACTGCCATGTAAGTACAAATGCATGCTGATGATTAGTCTGTTCATGTGGCCTCTAGAACTCGCCCAACAAGTGCTGTTAAAGTCCAACCATGAAAACAATGCATCTGTTAACTGCATGCAACAGAACATCACATGCGTAGTAGCATCACGTGTCTGGCTGTATCAGCCGGTGTGGTCTGGTGTCTCGTTTCACTTCTACTTTCTGTTACTATCCTATTTATCTCCAAAAGATCCTCCGACAACAGACCTTTCACAAGATCTACCAATTTAGACTTGGACCACATGTCATCAAGCAACGACTACATCAACATACGTTCTCTCAGCATGTAATGTTTGTATAAATATGGACACATATATTTAGAACATGTACAGATAGCCAGTACGTAGTGATAGGTCGTGTAATGGTCTCGCTGTACTTCATGACCTCGGGGGGGGGGGGGGGGGGGAAGGTCTGTTGTCGGAGGATCTGGGGGGGGGGGGGGGGGGGGGGGGGGGGGGGGGGGGGGGGG